AATCAACGAATAGAATTCAATACAATACAACAATTTGACGAGCACTCAGCAAGTATTAACACAAGAAAAAATGAGATAAGTGAAGAAATCATTACAAGCTTATTAAGATACCTTGTAAATAGGAAATCAGAAATCTTTATAAATCAATTTCCTTTTCTATACTACGATAGACATCTTTCACCTCAAGCCGTTCTCCTCCTCAACAACTAACGAGTAATGTCCGTCTTCATTAGAAACTATGCTAACCAAATTAGGGCTAGCGCTTAAAGGTAATCCCGCGTATTAAAAGGCGAACTAAGTATAAAGGGAAATAATGGAAGTATATCAATAACAAACTATTATAATGATAACACAAATTTGATTAGCGCAATGATCACTTTGTTTAGATTTTTATCACAATTAATCTATTTTTAGAAAAATCTTTAGTCAAAGCCCATATTTTGATCACGAAAAAAAAATAATTATTTGTTGAGAGCGAAGCTGATGATACTTTCTATGTAAAGTGAAAATGATCATTTGTCCGCCACTTCGCGTAACGTTGAACCAATCACATCATTTTTGCTGCAAAAAGAGAAAATCAACAATTTTCTTTAAAAAAATTTTTTTTAAATAAATAAATTTAGAATATAATTAAGATCATTTTCATATAAGACAAAAAAATAAGTTCAATTTCCCTCTTTTCTGTAGCACTCAGCCCATTTGATTGTTTTATTATAAAAAAAAAAAAATCTTGCTTTTACATACATATGCGATCTATCAATAAACTATAAAATTAGCTTGATTTTACGTGTAACCGGGTATACTTTTAAGCAATAAGCAATTAGGCTACAGTATGTACGTACTACAAATAACAGATTTTTTTTTCGTACGTATGTACAGTACATTATTCGTTATCAGTTATTAGGAATCTATTGATAGTCACACGACAAAAAATTTATGTACGTACAGTACAGTACATACGTGAATGATAGATTTGGGTTATTAATTTTAATCAAAGTTCCATAATCGATTTATTTATTTATTAGTTTTTATATATATTTTTTCTACTTTTCTATTATTTTGATGATCAATTAATACTCCGATTAGATTAGTCTTTGTATCACTATCACAAAAAATGCTTTTGTTGGCGGTCATCTTATCCTGTTCATAATCCATGATTTGTGTGTCGTAACAATAAAATTACAGAGGGACCAGAGTAAAACATATTATCAGAAAAATGAATTCGAGCTTTTAAGTGGTGTGAATTATTGTTTGTTTGATTCGAATTATATAAAAGGCATTTTTAAGACTAAACAACTGCCGTAGCGATAAAATATTTTTAGAATTGACACAACGACAATGTGTCTATATATAGAATAATATAGTATGTAGTTCCATGCAGCGCGTTGGCATCATTTATATGCTGTATCATCTTAGTGAAGACCTGCAAAATACATGAAAATTCTACGTATTTCTAATTATTTCTAAATATTTTCTATGAATGTACTAGAATATACCTTGGAAATCTTATTAAATAAATATCTTATGGAATCACGTTATTCCAAAAGTATTTGGTTTCGGAAAATATAAACTTGTTTGATTTTTTACCAAAGTTGTGCATCTTTTCCATATTTAGCATAAATAGCTCAAGGAATTAAAGGACAAACATATCACTTTGAAATAACGATTTTTATTGTGACACGAATATGCTATCACTCCCATGTATACATCAATGAATATAAAAAGAACTCTGAAATTTCCCTAGATAAATGCATTTCTTCTATAATGAATTCAAATATCATTCATAAAGAAAGTCTTCTAACAATGCCAACGGAAGCAATTGACATAATAATAGATTATTTAAATGTTAGAGATCAACAAAATCTTTCTCATGCATGTCAAAAACTTCGCCGCGCTACAAGAAATTTTCACTTTGGAGTTAATTTTCCAATTTGGAAAGATATAACTAATGATTTAATCATAGCTCCTCCTATTTCAAATTACCGTGATGGTGTTGTCGTTGATGGTAAATTTTACATTGTTATCCTTGCCGAAGATATCCCTATATGTTGGATTCTAGATTTTACCAAAAATACAATCGGATGGATACAAGTTTCCATTTTAATATCTATGGATCCTAGTGAATATCATCCCGTTCGATCTACGGCTGGTGCTGCTATAAAAAATAATATTTATATGTTCGGTGGAGAAAGTAGATTAACTGGATATCCAACTAACATAATGTATAAATTGGATATACAGTCAATGAAGTTATATCGGATAATTGTGAATGATAATTATCCAACTCCACGGTCGATGCATTCATTAGATTCTATAAATAGCGAACATATAATTCTTTTTGGAGGACGTTGTATGATGCATGGGAGTAAGTGTATTTTGGAGAAAGACAATATTATTTCTTTATTGCTCTTAACGCTCCGATTACATTTATTTACATGTTCATTTATGACAATCTTTATGTGTTCGCTTTAATATTGCATGTTCACGTTTATTATCTAAAAGATAAATTTTATGATACCAAAGAGTTCTTCATTTATAATGTCTATAAAAATTTGTGGATCAGGTACGACCAGACTACTCACCTTCCATACGCAAGATCGCTTCACAGCAGTAGCGTTAACAACGGAATGCTTTACATTTATGGTGGTCAACATATTACTTTACATTCTTTTAATTCCTCAATACATAATGACGAAGATATTTGGGTTTATGACAGTTATAAAAACACGTGGAGAAAATATCTTGCGCCGATGACATCGTGTTTCTGTCTCCCAGAAGAATGGATTGCAACAAAGGGTGTAGGTCCTGGTAAAAGGTATGGTGCATCTATCTTTATTATGCGTCGTAAAATCATTATCTTGGGAGGAACAAGAACAACGAAGCCCGACGAGAATATGTCTGAAGAAAATGGAATAAATGGAGAATATATGAATATACTTTGTCCTAAAAGAAGAACTTGGGAACACGTCCAAGTTAAAGGTATGCCACAACTTGAATGTGTCGCAATCAAAAATCGAGGGAACAAAATTTTTATAATTGGCAAAAATTGTGATGCGAAGATGGTTATGGGTTGGATAATAGATTAGGATATTTTCTATATATGACAAAAAATTTCTAGGCAAAATCAATATTAGATTTACTATAATCTTTCTTAAATTAAGGATAATATTAAGGTAAGTAGGAAATTTACATAGTAAAAATTAAGATATGCTTATGCAAATGTCATTAACATTTAATTCATATATGCTATATAAAATTTCGATTGAAAATATATGTAATAAAGTATTAAATACTATAAAACTCTCTAATAATGACCAAACTTAATTTTAAAGTAATTGACATTAAATACCATCAACAGTCAATATATATTATCTAGTAAAAAATACCACTTTTCTACCAGTGAGTGAAGAAACCAGATGGTTCCAAAAATCGTAGACTTTTAAGGACATGTCTTTCGGCAATCTAAACAATTACATTTTAGGTGATGGCATCGAAAAGACATATGATCCTGTTATAGCGATTTATGTAAAAAAAAAAAATAAAAGTAAGTTTATCATAAAAGATTTAAAGTACAAAAAATATGACACTGTGAGAGTGAAAACCTGGGAAACCGATTTAATGATTTATTATGATCAGTTTCCAGGTTTTCATTCTCACGCACTCATATATAAATGCTAACTTAACTATATCAAGCAACCAACCGGACTCTGATGTAATTCATTAGAGATTCAATTACAAATCAAGTAACGGTGTCAGAAATGTGACTAGCGTACTTTATATATATACTGCTATATATATAAAAATGTATCACACACATATATATATTGGTGACTATATAGAGGTTTTAAAATTAATTAGCGATCAATTATAGTTACATGTTAAGTAATGCATATTGATATTAAATTAACTTCTACTAATATACTTCTGCAATTTATATTTTCGCAAAAACGAAGTGTATTACACTGGTAGAAAGTGGAATTTTTACTAGATAATATATTATGAAAATATGGTAATTATATTTAAATATTGTCTATTACTTAGTAATTAAATAAGAATTTTACAATATATTTCCTAGTAAAAATAGGATTTTTTTGTCCAGTGTTAGTAAATTTGCCTAAAAATTACATATAATTTCACAATATATGCATTTTCTTCTTCTGAACAACTTCCCTTAATCGACTTACTTGGTAAATTTTAACTTTGATATGTAGCTACTATATTCGATTGATTAAAAATTTTAATTTTAATTAATAAAACTTTTGTATAGTCTCCCGTAATATTCTAATATAACTGTGATTACAGTATGTATAGAATTGCATAAGAAATCCAATAAAAGCCATATTTAGACCTAACCTTGCGGTATGATTTAATTTCCTACTTTACTAATTAAATGTTTCAAGAATATTCTTGTTGAGTAACATGTTTTAGTATAAAGTATCACATTTACCAGCAACTCGGCGCGTGTAATTACAGATCTTCGAATGTTTCTTTTGATATAGAACCAAATCGGGTCACAGCAGTTTTTTCTGAACACGAGTCGATTGATCCGACAACAGTTATGTAATTATGAGAGTTAGACATGTGAAAACCTGTATTTGCGCGCCAACTACAGAACTAATGGATATGTATGTTTGTTAGTCTTAAAAAAGAAATCACGTATGCTTACTTAAAATGTTTAATGCATCGTAAAAAAAACAATTTAGGTTGTTATCATAAGTAAGACATACTATTACGGAAAATAATTATATCCAGTATGGTATGATCAATTTTTCCGAGTACAAAGAATAATGTCCCTTTTTAGTATAGTTTTTTTTTTTGTATTTGGGGGGGGGGTGTCAGTAGAAACCAAGCAATTTAATAAATTTTTTTTATTTTAATTCTATATAGTTATAGAATTAAAAAAAATTTCATCAAGTTTGGTTTAATAGTTGTTAAGATATTTTAAAGTTTTAAAAAAACTTACTAAAAACCTTAATTATAGATAGTCCTTGTAATCTTCATATTGTAATCACTCTACACATATATGGCATCCAAGGTATTGAATAGTGTTTATACTGTAATTATGAA